TGACAACACAGCAGAGCATATTAAAATGGTTAGATTTTCTTTTGAAATGTTTAAGCATCACATATACTAATTATATGCAAATTAAACATACTCCATAGAATTCAATTTATCAAGAACACTTGCCAGTTGATAGATGATCTAAAGTGGTTTTGAGTTTATTTGATCAGAATATACATTGTACATGTAACCACCATTGTAACTAGGTCAGTTATTTATAGTTAAATTTTTAGCAGGATTTTATTTATTTTTAGATGTTTGATGTACATGTATGTTGCTCAAGCCGGATGTGGCATTAGGCTTTTGTGTATTGTTTTCTTGTAATTTCCTTTTTCAAAAGGGAGGGGCTCCATCCATTAATTAGGTCATGTAAATGGTTCATTTTGTGGAGGTTACGATGTCTTACATGTAGGTATAGGATTCAGTATCTGTGTGTAGTAGTGTCACCATTGAAACATCATTTTTAATTTTGTTGATTAAGAGTATTTATGGGAGTTGGGATATAAGGTTTAGGGGTTCGTAATATTACTTGGGTTTTGGTTCAGCTAGTATTAAGATTTTCAGTATGAAGTTACATAGATAGGGGAAAATGCATCCTTATGGCATGAAAAAATATTGATTTCTTTTGTCAAAGTTATATAATAGATTCTCTAATTATTAATATGTACACATATCTAATAAGTGGTGCGAATTGTCGAGCCAGTTGATAAAATTGTGAACAAGTTTTTTAGTAAATAACACTGACTGGGAAATACGCCCTTGAGAAGTATCAATGATGAAATATTTATATTGCAATTTTTTGCAATTTTAATTAGTTGTATTTCAATTCATTGGTAATAATTAAAATATATATCAATTTCTTTATTTCATTGCTGAGAGTTATACATTTGTTTTGTACTATAATTTATCTATTTTGGAAAATTATAAACAATATTCAACTACATGTATCCTTCTGCAACATCAATAATATCATTACTTACAGTATGTCACTAAGCAGTATAAAAAAATGCATGATACAAATCCCATTTTATAAATGGTCAAATGTTTCTTTGTCTAAGAAACTAGGGGCATTATCAGAGCAAAGGTCTTATTTAGGAGCTCCTGCCAGAGCAACTGCACAAATCATAAGGGCAAATTAACAGCTCCTAAGGATGGTATTCCCAGAATAGCACCAGTTGTTAAAGACACATAAAACTGATTCTCAACAACAATGAAAGGACCAGTTACTGCGATAAACCCCTACTCCCTGCAAAAGTTTCCCACTACGAAATCCACTCACCATGGAAGCCACTCATCACAAAGCTACTAATTTGATTATTAAGAAGTAGTGTTGTACATATAAAATGTGGAGTGTAGTACTGTGGTATATAGTGTAGTGTGGTTTGTATTTGTGTGTGGTTGTGATGTGTTAACTCAGAAACACACAAAACATCAAAGAAACCAGAGAGCTTTCAAGTTTAACTTCTTGTTTATTCTGCCATTTTCAGTTACCCCAGCCGCACTACTTTTTACATATCAATACACTTGGGTGATCAGGTGATATATAACACCATTACAAAAGTATGTATTCTGACGCATACAATAAAGTAGTCCCAAAAACGACACTGGTGTTTAATGTATATAGTTAATACACATGTTGTATGTATCAGGATATTCATAAGAAATCTCATAATGGCAATACCAGTGCTTCCTCAAAGTCTGACATGTTGTCGCATGTTGTCTCTCTGTGAAAATTTGCGTTCGCTAACTGAAACAACATACATTTGTACAGTGTACATGTGTATCTGCTGTGGTTGTTATATAGGTTCCATGGGATGTATACAACATTGTAAAGTACATGTACATTGTAAATGTTTATATTTCTTCTGTGTTGCAACTGTTGCACTTTTACTTAGTGTTATTGTAACCTGAGAATGTTTTCAATGAAGATGAAAACTGAAGACGACTTTTTGCCATGTACTGCGATTTTAACATAACTGTTGCGTACATGTAACAATATTTTTTGGTTTTCATACACCAAAGAATTTTTCCTGGTGGAAAAATAGAATGTTTTAAATGTAGCCTAAGTATTTTGGTTGTTCTGTTGTATAAGTATATGAGTAATTGCTTGTCAAATGTACATGTATCATATTTTTTTACAAGTCCACCAAGCTGTGTAAGTGGTGTAAAAATAAAAAAAAAACAGCTGTGTATATACAATTTATATAAATATTATGCTGTGATAGTGCATGTAGCCCCGGTAACTTGATAATAAAAATATCTGTTAAGTTACATCATGAAAAATTCTCAACAGGGAAAATGTAAGCAGTGTTGCAATAAATGGTCCACCTGAGTCTTCATACTCTCTGGAGATCTTAGATCAGGTTACCCATGTTTAGGTAATCTCAGTGCATACCATGTTATGTGTACAGAGTGCAGTTAAGTGCCTCTCACCATGGTCCTCATTTGGTATTTATATTGAAGGAATAATTACACAGTAACTGCACATGTTCTTGTTCTGGGGCATCAGCATGTGCTTATTCTTGTACTGGGTTTTCCGCTAATCCTTGCAGCATGTTGATGAATCTCTCGCCAGTGGCAAATTTCATTTACATGTACAGTGTAGATTTGCCTAAAAAAGTTTATGAAACTTTTACCACCATTGACTAAGTGTAATTTTCAAACAGTTATCCTGAGAAAATGGTACCCATGTAGCATGTGTATAATTTCTTTTTATACCCTGACTGTACAGCTGGTCTAATAATATTAATGTCATAATAAAATAGACAGGCTATCAAGTTCGCAACTGGAATAATATACTCATGAATGACTAAGCGCTATGTGTACACTGTCTGACAAAAAGATGGTACTGTGCATGTATACATTGGATAAAATGTACATTATCATGGTACGTGGTTTGTACACGACTAATAATGTTTATTTTCCCAACGAAATGGACAGGTTATCGAGTTCGCAATTTGAATAATATGCATGTACTCGTGGATGACTAAGAGATACATGCAATGTGTACACTGTCTGACGGAACGATGGTAGTGTGGATAAAATATGTATCCTCGGGGGCGGAGCTACGTCACAGACGTTCCACGTTGCTAAGACGCGCACCACTGTACATGCATTTCTATGGACTCTGTGTGCGCTGCTGTGGAACGCCGATCGAGCCGGTGAAAATTTGAGAAAACGACACAAACTCAACTTTGAAGTAATCCTAAACAACCAAATTTACATATGTTACACACATAGGGATGTCCGCCCCCGAGGATACATGTACCTTATTAGATAGACAATTTTTGTTCGTACATACTTCATGAATATGAATACCGTATTTTCTATATTAGTATATAATGTAGCTCTTACATGTACATGTACGTAAATTATGAATAATATGTTTCTAAATTACAGTTTGACAAATACGGTACATGTATCAATTGTCGTAATATATCGATTGTTTTTACTAGGTGCTGTTGAGCTAGCTAGTTTAAAAAAATTCAAAAACACATCACTATACATGTAGTTGTACTAAATTAAAAGTAGATCATATTTCATAACTAACTTAGCATTTTCTGGATTTCTGCCAAGGTGAACTGATTTTCCCATACGAGAAACTCAAAATTTATTCTGTTTCATTTCAATGTACATTAAGGCAAAACTATTTAGTTTGTAATTGCTAGATTGATTTGTAAGTGTTCCTTATCAGTAGACTAAACCTGCTTTCTGTCCATACATGTATGTTGCAGCAGTTTATATTTAAAAGGCAATGGTTGTTACACGGCGCATGTGCGACATTTGTGTTGATAAACATTGTTTTTCCCACAATCCAATGCGCTCTTCTAATGGAAATCACAAGTACAAGTGTCGACCTGGATGTGGTCGGTACTAAACACTGTCAATGATTTCTTCCATAGCTTCCGATCACCAAAGAAAATTGGCTTAATGTATCTGTTTGTACTTGTTGATCTGCGCAAAGTAGCCATCTTTGTTCATACATGCACAACACAACATTGCGCAACAACCACCTCCTTTTAACTTATTGTTCACACCAATTCATACCCTAATCACATACTATTTGGTTGTGGTAAGAAGGCATTGTTTTAACCCCACAGACCTTTTTCATGCGTCTCTCATCTCAGGGTTAAACACCAGCAATCTGACTCTGATCTATACTAGCTCAGGTCAACACCAGGTTAATCTATTCACACATGTTTTTCAACACTGGGTTAAAACAAACTCTGGGTCAAACCCCTACGTTTTTCTACACAGTAATAGTAACCACATGGTTTGTACAATTTTAATAATGTTGATTTTTTGTTATTAAAGTAATGCACAAAGTATATTCAGTGAATGCTGTCATGTGATAGTACCGGGGGTAATCCCATGATATCACTTTTGTAAAAGTTAAAGGGCGGTAGTCGTTGCGCCGTGCATGTGTGACATTTCCCCACAATCCAATGCACTCTCCTAATAAAATCACAAGTATGAGGTTTGACCTAGGCGTGACTTCTACTAATTACCGCCTGTAACTCCTGCAATACCTTCAAATCATCTAAAAAATATCTGATTAATAAAGCTTGGTAACGTCTCAGTATGTACTTGTTGATTTCCGCAACAGCCAAAATTGCCATCTTTGTTTATATGAGACCCATATATCTTGCGCATGCGTGGCGTGATGGCTTTCATTCTTTAAAAGGATGGTTGTGGTCATCATGCTGTGCGCTTTCACATTTTGTGTAGTTGTTTAGGTCATCAAGTTCATTGCCTTCAAGGCCTTCAAAAATTTTGATTCCTGAGTATCTCTTCAGGACTGCAGATTTCAGATACTGATCACTTACAAGATAACGAATGTTTTATCAAGCAAAGTTACACATTATGAAGATTGTCATTTGGTTTGTTGATAAACCTTCAATAATATACACACACACACTGTAGTTACATGTAGCCTGTTAATCGTGAAATCTGTACTTTGCTCATACATGGGCTGATTCTCTCTTTCTCTTTGCTTGTTTTAGCGGAGGACCTTGACCCAGAAGCTATAGCAAGAGCCAATCGAGAAAGAGCTGAGATTGTCAATCGCTATGATAGGGTGAGTAAACATCATTCATCGATGTCAAATTCAAAGCCAACTGGCCTGTTGATTTGATTGCTACTTTCAGAACTAACATGTATTCACATGTGCAGGCAATCAGTTAGTGCTCAAATAATGTCAAGGCTCATTTTTTTTTCAGAAATCCATGCGGTTACAGGGTGTTACTCAGTTATTTCAGCCGAGAGTACACTGATTAAAACAAATTTGTATTTACAAATTTCAACAGAAAATTGCACTACTTAATCACTAACCTTGAAATGTATTATACATGTACATGTAGCTGTAATTTTCATCATATCTAGGTCCTGTCTTACTAATAAGTCAACTTTTGTCATGTTTTCCAAAACAAACACGTAATTATATTTTGTTAAAAGTTTTAGGCAAAATTTAGGACTGTCTGGTTCAAAATTAACAAAGAAATTTTACAAAAATATAAAAAAATGTTTAAAGTGTGGTACCAACATTTTTGTGGGACAATTGATGGAATTTAAATCGTTAAAGTAACACAGTTGTATTGTACACCTCATACTAATGTAGTTTGATTGCTTACTGTGCCAAGCTTTTTAAACACTAAAAAAATGGCTGGTGAGCTAGTTTTCAAAAATGCAATCATGATTACCGGTATACGTATTTGTGGTTTCAAAAATATTTTCTTTTCCAGATAAAAACAAATGAATCATGTACCACAACTCTAGAGGGTGCTATGATGGCAATTATTTCTTGCAAATAGATAAATTTTTTCATGTGTTGCTGTGTCCTATTTTGTCGCATGTGTTCTTTTTCAGGGTAGGGATGATGGTGCTCCAATTGACCCGTGGGAAGATGCTGGCTTTAGAGTTTATAAAGTTACAGATAGATTTGGCTTTCTGCAGTAAGTACATCCCAGACTTTTATAGCTGAGAGATTTATTCGTAACACCATAACATTTTTGTAAACATTAACTGAAAATATTAATTACACAAACTTTTATTTGTGTTTTTTTTTTTTTTTTTTTTTTTGACAGTGAACATGAACTTCCATCTGTTCCTGATGAAGAAGAACAAAAGGTAAGGCCATACAAAATGAGTACTGTAAAATCTATATTAGAAACCGCTGCTTCTATTGTGATTCCATGCAACAGAGGAAATGCGGCTTCTATTAGAGCATCTACACATATGAGAAATGATGAATTTTTGGTAATCAATTATTCAAAAAGAATTGGTGCGACTTCTATTAGGAATGCGGCTTCTATTACAGATTGTACGGTACTTCTCATTCACAGTTCATCATGATGTATTGGCATAGTAATTGTTATTCATTTTTGTAGTTTGTCATGTTTTGTTGAATTTCAGTGATCAAATAACCACTGACACTTCATAATGTGGAGCATAACTAGTAAACTTGATTTGTTTTGATGTGATTTGTGTCCTTGTGTCAGATCAGTCACAGAGATATTATACCTTTTCACTATTTCAGATGAAGACTGTTGAAATGGATCGTCTTCAGAAATGGTTAAAAATGATGAAAGCATGGGACAAGTATTACCCAAGCGAAAAAGTAAGTAATCAAAGATAAAATCGGAAATAAGTGGAAATTATCAAACCTTTTTTTTTTGTGCCAAAACCACTGTAAGAAAACGGTCTCGAAAATGATGGTACATGACCCGCAGTCCATTCAACTACCAAGCCAGTCTTGACTATAAAGGGCGCTATTCTACTAAATCCAGGTGTTATTGAATACCAAAATGTGTCAATGCTCTTGATAATGTTTTTAGCTTTTTCTTAATATCTCAGTTGCAGCGTAGAGTATACAAAGGGATCCCACACTCGATACGAGGTGATATATGGTCTAGGCTACTGGAACTTAAAAAAGTCAAAGACGAACAGGATGGCATATACGAGGTAAGTTATTAGTTACTTTGCCAATATCAGTGGTGATTGTTTGATTGCTTAAACTAGTTTATTAAATTCACTAAAGTCATGTTCGATATGGGTTCCATACAACGCCTCTTTTCGCACTAAATTTGATTATGCCTTGTGCCACAAACACCGCATTTTAAGCGAATTTACCTTTATCACAAGACTAAGCACACTACATGTCTTGTGATTTTTTTAGTCCCCGCTCGAACGCAGTCCGAAAACGGGGACTTATGTTTTGACCTCCGTGCGTGCGTCCGTGCGTGCGTCCGGACCTGTATCTTAGAAATGCCTGGACCAATCACAATCAAACTTCACACATACATCACACATGATATATACATATGCACGTCAATTTGTTTCACGATCTGATTTAAGATGGCCGAATGGTGGCCATTTTTGTGCTAATAATCATCAAAATCAAGCATTTCCCAGCTGTTTATACCGTTAAAGTCCTATTATAAACCGCGGTTTATATTACAATGTATCAATTTAAAAATTGGGATCAAAAGCTCAAGTTCGGGGTGCGGTTTCTATTACGTACATATTGCAATCACTAAATGGGCGTGGTCATTTTTTGTCCACAACACATGCACAAAACAAACAAGAGTGAAAGGCCTTATTTTGGTTCTAAAATAGGCGTTACGAAATGTTGAAAAATTACAATCAATCAAAAAA